AGAAATCGTTCTTCGAGCTCACCGAAATCGAGTTCCTTGGATATATCCTTGCCCCAGCAGGCGTCACCATGGCACTGGATAAGGTCATGTCTGTTACGAATTGGCAAGCCCCGCGCAGCGTTAAGGAAGTACAGATCTTCATGGGCTTTGCCAACTTCTACAGAAGGTTTATCCACAATTTCTCCGGGGTCTGTAAACCCATTACCGATTGTCTCAGGGGTGATGCTAAGAACTTTGTCTGGTCTATGACGGCCCAAGCAGCCTTCGAAAAACTCAAAACCCTATTTACGTCTGCGCCGATCTTGGTACACTTCTCTCCAGATCGCCAGACTATCGTGGAAACGGACGCAAGTGATTTTGCTATCGCCGCAATTCTATCCCAGGTTATTGACGGAAAGACTCACCCTGTTGCCTTTTATTCCCGAAAGCTTAACCCAGCGGAACTCAACTACGACGTCTGGGATAAGGAGATGCTAGGAATCGTGTCAGCCTTCAAGCAATGGCATCACTACCTCGAAGGACCTAGTCGAACGGTCCTCGTCTACACGGATCACAAGAACTTGGAATATTTCTCAACAACCAAGGTTCTTAACCGACGACAGGCAAGATGGGCTGAGTCTTTGGCGGAATTTGACTTCAAGATTATTTACCGCCCGGGAACCAAAAATGGGAAGGCAGATGCACTATCGCGACGGCCGGAGTACCGTCCTGAAGGGGGAGGCACGCTTGGGAAACAGCCGATAGACAGGTTCTTTAAGCCCGGACAGTTGGCGGAGGAAGAGTTTGTGGTATCAGCGGTGTCGCTTGCCTCCAAGGGGGTGATTGACTGGTCTAAGAATTTTCTGGATCATGTCAGGCAGGCGGCATCGGGAGACCCGACATGGGTAGGATTGAAAGAGAGAGTTGAGCAAGGGGAGAAGCTGGGGGAATTGAAGGACATCGCTGAGAAAGACGGGCTACTTTTCTATAAGAACCGACTCTACATCCCGGCAGACGACCGTATCAAGATCCGAATCGCACAGGCAGAACACGACTCGAAAGTGGCAGGACACTTTGGACAAGACAAGACACTGGAACTCATCACGCGTAACTTCTATTGGCCAAAAATGAACGAGTGGATTGATGACTACGTTCGGTCATGTGACGAGTGCCAGCGCAACAAACCCAGCCGCCACAAGAAATACGGTGCGCTTCTACCACTGTCCACGCCACATTCTGTCTGGCAATCGATATCAATGGACTTCGTCGTACAGTTACCGGAATCAAAGGGATACAATCAAATCTGGGTAGTAGTCGATAGGTTCTCGAAGATGTCGCACTTCATTCCCTTAGTAGCAGAAACGACCGCACAGGATTTAGCGAAGATATTCCTCGGTCAAATATGGCGACTCCATGGGCTGCCTCTTGATATAGTTTCCGACAGGGACGCCAAGTTTACTTCAAGCTTTTGGGCATCCCTTATGGAATTATTGGACGTGAGGATAAGAATGAGTACGGCTTTCCACCCTCAGACCGATGGGCAAACAGAGCGAGTCAACCAAACCCTCGAGCATTATCTACGAGCATTCTGCAACTACGAGCAAGATGATTGGGCAGAGCTACTCCCATTGGCGGAGTATGCTTACAACAACTCGGTTACCACCGCCACGGGTCAATCTCCGTTCTATACCAATTACGGTTACAACCCAAGAACCAACTGGCCGACAGAAGCCGAAGTGGTCAACCCAACCAGTGACCTGTATGCTCACTTTATTCGAGGAGTTCATGATTCTGCTCTCGCTCGCTTAACAGACACCAGGGAGAAGATGGGGAAATACTATGATCGGAAAAGGGACGAACCGCCTAACTTCAAGATGGGAGACATGGTTATGCTCAACGCGACCAACATCAAGACACGACGTTCTACCAAGAAACTCGATCATAAGAAACTCGGCCCATTTAAAATTGTCCGACTAGCCGGTAAACGAGCCTGCGAATTGGAACTACCACCGCAAGTCAAAATCCACAACGTTTTCCATATTGAACTCTTGGAACGTTACCGACAGAGTAGTATCCCAGGCCGTGAACAACGTCCCCCAACTCCCGAAGACGTTGATAAGGAAGGAGAAGTCCTGTATGAAGTGGAAAGTATTGTGGGAAGCCGGAAAAGTAGGAGAGGATTAGTGGAATACCTGGTGAAATGGCGGGGCTATTCGATGAGCGACTGCACGTACCAAGTCATGGACGCTATGAATGAGGAGGTACTTGACCTAGTTCGCGACTTTCATCGAAGGAACCCCAAGGCCGTGAAGGACCAACGCCTGAGACTATAGAGGTACCCTACGGGGCTAAGTCCTTCCCCTCCACAGACACCGCGGGTGATATGTGGGGCAGGTTTACTGGAACCATAGTCTGTCAGAAGATGTCCCGAGACGTGACACCCTGGAAGGGGGGTAAGCTGTTACGGGCATGCCAAGCATTTATAAAAAGGCTAGTAGATACCCCAATACCCTCTGCACGCTAACGTCAACTCTGGACCGCACCCGCGGGGTGTGGTGCGACCAAATTACGACCAAAAAACCCAGAGTCATAAAAAACACGTTTTCGACCCCAATAATAACCCCCGGAGCGTCAAACCGCCGGAGGGGAGTGTTTTGGTACCGGTGGATATATGAGGGACAGCTGGAAGCAATCGGATCGAAGATCGGATCACTCGGAGCGAATCGGCGCAAGCTACCAGCCGACCGAGTACCTATCGGCGGTACCTATGGGCATGAGAGGACTCTGCTATGTGGGAAAGCGATGTGGGAAGAGGCCTGAGTAGGTAGCCTTGCCATCCGAGACCTCCGAATAGCCGACGCTGACGATTATCCACCAGACGGCCGATGGGGAAGAAATATCGACAGGGAAACGTGCATTAGAGTGGATAAAAAGGTTGAGGGGTTTTAGCGGCTTTAGGAGTTTGGGTTACGGACTTAGGAGTTAAATGTTCTTGGTTGTTTTTCAGGGTCTCGGGTAGGCCCCGAGTGTATTCTGTATTATTAGTAGATTGGGTCCTCGAGACATAAGCGAGGGATATAAATACCGTGTCATTCACTGACTAGCCAAACCATTATCGGCGAAATCAGAGTCTTAACAATATAAATCGTTGATACGCGAGTTACAACTTTATTTGACTATACTTTTGAATTACTTTACTCTATCGTGACTTCGAACTCTACCTGAACTATTACGTCGAAGACGGTCGAACGTCAAACGCTAACTCTAGTGAATCTTTGTTGATAACGTAGCTCGCGGGGCCCGTATCGGATCAAGGAGATTTCTACTCGACGTTGACTGAAGAGACCTTGGAGACTTCTACCTTTGTAGCTGTTAGCCGAACTCTGAGCTCTGCGTAGTGTACTCTTGTGGTCTGGTACGCATCCCTCACAGCCTGACCGCCTCGGGTCAACTGATTCTGCAGGCTGTGCTGGAGGTAGGTGTTACGGGCATGCTAAGTATTTACGAAGAAAAGGCTAGTATATACCCCAATACCCTCTGCACGCTAATGTCAACTCTGGACCACACCCGCGGGGTGTGGTGCGACCAATATACGACCAAAACACGGTGTCATAAAAAACACGTTTTCGACCCCAATAATAACCCCCGGAGCGTCAAACCGCCGGAGGGGAGTGCTTTGGTACCGGTGGATATATGAGGGATAGCTGGAAGCAATCGGATCGAAGATCGGATCACTCGGAGCGAATCGGTGCAAGCTACCAGCCGACCGAGTACCTATCGGCGGTACCTATGGGCATGAGAGGACTCTGCTATGTGGGAAAGCGATGTGGGAAGAGGCCTGAGTAGGTAGCCTTGTCGTCCGAGACCTACGAGTAGCCGACGCTGACGATTATCCACCAGACGGCCGATGGAGAGGAAACATCGACAGGGAAACGTGCATTAGAGTGGGTAAATAGGTTGAGGGGTTTTAGCGGGTTTAGGAGTTTGGGTTACGGACTTAGGAGTTAAATGTTCTTGATTGTTTTTCAGGGTCTCGGGCAGGCCCCGAGTGTATTCTGTATTATTAGTAGACTGGGTCCTCGAGACATAAGCGAGGGATATAAATACTGTGTCATTTACTGACTAGCCAAACCATCATCGGCGAAATCAGAGTCTTAACAATATAAATCGTTGATACGCGAGTTACAACTTTATTTGACTATACTTTTGGAAATACTTTACTCTATCGTGACTTCGAACTCTACCTGAACTATTACGTCGAAGACGGTCGAAGCATCATACGCTAACTCTGGTGAATCTTTGTTGATAACGTAGCTCGCGGGGCCCGTATCGGATCAAGGAGATTCCTACTCGACGTTGACTGAAGAGACCTTGGAGACTTCTACCTTTGTAGCTGTTAGCCGAACTCTGAGCTCTGCGTAGTGTACTCTTGTGATCTGGTACGCATCCCTCACAGTATATTGTTACTCACAAGTTCACTTGGAGTAACGAAGTCACCTCAAAGAAAAGACTATCATCATTATCCCCTATTACAATGACTACCCGAAGGGATAATTATTTCATAGATACCTCGGCCGTAACTGAGGAGGCCGGGGAAGATTCTATGGTAATATCGAGGGCTGCTAGCCCCGACCCCCTTCTGACGGGAGGACCCTCTACACAAACTAGGCAATCGAGTAAACGCTCTGCTCACACCCAGTTCGTGAAGGGTATGCAGGAGTTTTTGGATACCCATGAGGCACAAATGAGGTATCTTGGTGCAGCTGGACAGGCCGTTTGGCAGCAGCTACAAAACCTCCAGGAACAAGTCCAAGGGAGTGGACAAATACTGGATAAGAAGGTACGGCAAGAAGCCATTGCCCAAAAACAACATCTCGAATCGCTCTTTGAGCTCGTTGCCAATGTCCGACAAGTACAAGAGGCTGCACGAGCCGCCGACCATGAGGTTCTGGAGCGAAGTCATCATCAAACCCAGACCCAACTACAGGAGGCGGAGCGATAACTGAGGATGGTGAGAGAAGAGCGGGAGCAGGAAAAAGGGGAGCAACGAGCTTTGTTTGCGCAATTTAAGCGGTCCGATGAGGAAAGGAACCAACGGATAGCCGAGATGGAGGAACTACTGCGACAACATCTGTCAGTAGCACCTTCCGTGGCTAGTGCTCCGTTAGACCCTAATGCACCCCGAACGGTCCCTGTTGGCAATGGCAAGAACCCCCAAAATGCTGGCCCCCAAACATCAGGGAACGGCAAGCAACCAGAAGAAGCTGGTCCAGTTGGAGGAAATGGAGGCGAGCAACCGGAGGATGCCAGCCCAGTGCAGGGAAATAGTGGCAGAAGACCGGTAGGAGCTGCTCCAGTAGGAGGGAATGGCGGAAATCTACCTCCCTGAAACCCACCAAGAGGAAACTTTGGGGGAGACCCAGAACCTTCCGACGACGATGACGACGATAACAGCGAATGGTCGCATGGTCGGAAGAATTGGAGAATGAACCGAGGCGGGAACCGAAATTCGGAGCCGCCTGAGGACGACGATATGGTAGATTCGCTCGCCAAAATACCCTTTGAGTTCGATAATGCCCGAAAGCATAACCTGCGGCATTGGCTCATGGAGTGTGAGATCTACTTCGAGCAGAAGCCGAAGAAGTTCCGAACGGACAGAAATAAGGTACTGTTCGCAGGAACATATAAGTGTGGGTTGGCAAAGGAATGGTTTATAGAATATATCGAGACCAAGATGCTAGGTCCGGCAGCCGCGGACTACGCCACTTGGACTCGGTTCCGTCAGGAAATCAGAAAACGTTTCCTAAGCACTCAGGAAGCTATGGAAAACGCGATGAAGATGCAGCAGTTTAAGTACTCTGCTAACATCGGGGACTACCTGACAAGGATGGAGATCATGAACCAGCATGCTCAGATGAAAGGAGCATCCTATCGCGCCGCCTTGCTCCAAGGGCTACCAAATGAAATCCGGGAGCGCCACTCACGCTTCGATCCAACCGAGGATGACTCCGAGTACATCCAACAGTTGGAACGAGCCGGCAAGGCTCACGAGGCTTATCAAGAGCAGATGAAGATGTTGGGGAAGGCGGAGTCGAGAGGAAGGGAGTCGAGTAATGGTGGGAACTTGCGGCAGAAGGATAAGGGGTTTAAGATTAAGGGGAGGGCTCAGACTGAGGAGAAGGAAAAAGGACAAGATAAGAAGAGCACCAGCAAGAATAAGTCTGGAAACAAACCAATATACCAGGACTACGACGAAGCCACCAAAGGAGTTCCACAGCCGGTCCGAGACCAGCGAAAGACCGATGGTGTCTGCGTGCGATGTGGCCGAAAGGGTCATCTTTGGAAATGGTGTCGTTCAGATGTTAACAGCAGTGCATCTATCTCCTCTTTATCCCGAAAGCGTACCCGCGATGACGATGGCGACCACGACATGGAACCACCGGAACCCCAACCTCAGAGAAAGCGAATGAGGCACCGTGCTAGGAAGCCGGCTGCTACGGCTGCTGCGGAGTACACCAGTGGGCAAGCGTTTGTGCGAGAACGTGGATCGGAATCTGAAATGGATTTCGATAGGGGTTTTTAGAAGGGGACTCTGATGAGTCAGGTCAGGAGTATCCCCAGATTGCTATGTTATCACTGACGGAAAACAACAAAAAAAATATGAAAAGAAAAAGACAGGAAGGGAGAGCGTCCCAACCGGAGAAAAAACAGAAAATTTTGGAGGAACCTATTCACGGTCCTCGACCTATTGTTAATCAGTTCCTTTGTTTTGCGGAAAAATGTTTACCTTGTAAGGTGTTGTTGGATACTGGTGCAACTGGTCCTGTTTTGTCTGCTGTTTTTGTTGATAGTTTTGAGGTCCCGAAGGTGAAACGAGACGTCCCGGCCCGGGTATTTGGATTTACGGGAGAAGTTATGAAGGGCACGGGACACGCCTTTACACAACCATTAATTATAATGTCAAGGGGGCATCAAACACAGTTGTCATTCGAAATCGCCCCTCTCCCACTTGGCATCGATGCGATACTACCGAACTGGTGGTTGAAAGAACATAAACCAGTTATAGGGGCAAATGGGGAAGTTTCCCACGATGGAGAGAACTGCAAGAGTCGATGCTTCACTGACAAGGAACCTCAAATAGAAATGGACGAGGGTGTATTGGACGATCCGGAGGCCCAATTCATCGGTAGCATTTGCCTTTTGGAAGATGAATCGGTTAACCTCCGTGAAACTCTTCCCTCTTGGCTCCATGGGTTCCTTAAAGTCTTCCTACCATCGGAAGCAGACAAATTACCACCGCATCGATCTTACGACCATGCGATAGATCTCGAACCAGGGAAGCAGCCACCATGGGGACCCGTTTACTCCCTATCCGAAGTCGAGTTGAAGGTGCTTCGGGAATACCTGGACAAAATGTTGCGATTGGGAAAGATTAGGCCGAGCAAATCCCCGGCAGGAGCCCCGATCCTATTTGTGAAGAAGAAGGACGGTAGTCTCCGACTTTGCGTTGACTACCGTGGACTTAACCGTGTGTCCATCAAGAACAGGTATCCTTTACTGCTTATGGACGAGCTGCGAGACCGAGTGGCAGGCGCGGTTATCTTCTCAAAGATTGACCTGAAGGAAGGTTACAACCTCATCAGGATTAAAGACGGCGACGAGTGGAAGACAGCCTTCCGAACACGATATGGGCATTTTGAGTACCTCGTCATGCCTTTTGGGCTGGCAAATGCGCCGGCGACCTTTCAGAACATGATGAATGATGCGCTGAGGGAATTCTTGGATCAAGGTGTAGTAGTATACCTTGATGATATCCTGATATATAGCAAATCTCGAGAGGAGCACAGAGACCTGGTCGGCAAAGTACTTAGTAGGTTACAAGAATACAACCTAGTCGCCAACCCGAGGAAATCGTTCTTCGAGCTCACCGAAATCGAGTTCCTCGGATACATCCTTGCCCCAGCAGGCGTCACCATGGCACTGGATAAGGTCATGTCTTTTACGAATTGGCAAGCCCCGCGCAGCGTTAAGGAAGTACAGATCTTCATGGGCTTTGCCAACTTCTACAGAAGGTTTATCCACAATTTCTCCGGGGTCTGTAAACCCATTACCGATTGTCTCAGGGGTGATGCTAAGAACTTTGTCTGGTCTATGACGGCCCAAGCAGCCTTCGAAAAACTCAAAACCCTGTTTACGTCTGCGCCGATCTTGGTACACTTCTCTCCAGATCGCCAGACTATCGTGGAAACGGACGCAAGTGATTTTGCTATTGCCGCAATTCTATCCCAGGTTATTGACGGAAAGACTCACCCTGTTGCCTTTTATTCCCGAAAACTTAACCCAGCGGAACTCAATTACGACGTCTGGGATAAGGAGATGCTGGGAATAGTGTCAGCCTTCAAGCAATGGCGTCACTACCTCGAAGGACCTAGCCGAACGGTCCTCGTCTATACGGATCACAAGAACATAGAGTACTTCTCTACAACTAAGGTTCTTAACCGACGACAGGCAAGGTGGGCTGAGTCTTTGGCGGAATTTGACTTCAACATTATTTACAGCCCGGGAACCAAAAATGGGAAGGCAGATGCACTATCGCGACGGCCGGAGTACCGTTCTGAAGGGGGAGGCATGCTTGGGAAACAGCCGATAGACAGGTTCTTTAAGCCCGGACAGTTGGCGGAGGAAGAGTTTGTGGTATCAGCGGTGTCGCTTGCCTCCAAGGGGGTGATTGACTGGTCTAAGAATTTTCTGGATCATGTCAGGCAAGCGGCATCGGGAGACCCGTCATGGGTAGGAATGAAAGAGAGAGTTGAGCAGGGAGAGAAGCTGGGGGAACTAAAGGATATTGCTGAGAAAGACGGGCTACTCTTCTATAAGAACCGACTCTACATTCCGGCAGATGACCGCATCAAGATCCGAATCGCACAGGCAGAACACGATTCGAAGGTGGCAGAACACTTTGGACAAGACAAAACTTTGGAACTCATCACGCGTAACTTCTATTGGCCAAAAATGAACGAGTGGATTGATGATTACGTTCGGTCATGTGACGAGTGCCAGCGCAACAAACCCAGCCGCCACAAGAAATACGGCGTGCTTCTACCATTGTCCACACCACATTCTGTCTGGCAATCGATATCTATGGACTTCATCGTGCAGTTACCGGAATCCAAGGGATATAACCAAATCTGGGTAGTAGTCAATAGGTTCTCGAAGATGTCGCACTTTATCCCCCTAGTAGCAGAAACGACCGCCCAGGACCTGGCGAAAATATTCCTCGGTCAAATCTGGCGACTCCATGGGCTGCCTCTTGATATAGTCTCCGACAGGGACGCCAAGTTTACTTCAAGCTTTTGGGCATCCTTTATGGAGTTACTGGACATGAGGATAAGAATGAGTACAGCTTTCCACCCTCAGACCGATGGGCAAACAGAGCGGGTCAACCAAACCATCGAGCACTACTTACGAGCATTCTGCAACTACGAGCAAGATGATTGGGCAGAGCTACTCCCGTTGGTGGAGTATGCTTACAACAACTCGGTTACCACCGCCACGGGCCAATCTCCATTCCATACCAATTACGGTTACAACCCAAGAACCAACTGGCCGACAGAAGCCGAAGTGGTCAACCCAACCAGTGACCTGTACGCCCACTTCATCCGAGGAGTTCATGATTCTGCTCTCGCTCGCTTAATAGACACCAGGGAGAAGATGGGGAAATATTATGATTGGAAAAGGGACGAACCGCCTAACTTCAAGGTGGGAGACATGGTTATGCTTAACGCGACCAATATCAAGACACGTCGCTCCACCAAGAAACTCGATCATAAGAAACTCGGCCCGTTCAAAATTGTCCAACTAGCCGGGAAACGAGCCTGCGAATTGCAACTGCTACCACAAGTCAAAATCCATAACGTGTTCCACATTGAACTCTTGGAACGTTACCGACAGAGCAGTATCTCAGGCCGTGAACAACGTCCCCCAACTCCCGAAGACGTCGATGAGGAAGGAGAAGTCCTGTATGAGGTGGAAAATATTGTGGGAAGCCGGAAGAGTAGGAGAGGATTAGTGGAATATCTGGTGAAATGGCGGGGCTATTCGATGAGCGACTGCACGTACCAAGTCATGGACGCTATGAATGAGGAGGTACTTGACTTAGTCCGCGACTTTCATCGAAGGAACCCCAAGGCCGTGAAGGACCAACGCCTGAGACTATAGAGGTACCCTACGGGGCTAAGTCCTTCCCCTCCACAGACACCGCGGGTGATATGTGGAGCAGGTTTACTGGAACCATAGTCTGTCAGAAGATGTCCCGAGACGTGACACCCTGGAAGGGGTGTAAGCTGTTACGGGCATGCCAAGTATTTAT